CCTTTAAAAGGGGTTTGGACAGATTCCCGGAAGAAGAGTCCATTGCAGGTTACAAGCCATGATGGGGATGTATAATCTCCAGGCTTAAAGGGAAGGTAACTCAAAATGCCATATGCAGGGGAAGGGTATCAGGAGATAGGTATCTGGTTGTCCCATGTGCTGTCAGAGGCATCTTGTGGGACCACTGTGAGACACAGGAAGCTGGACTAGATGGGCCCTTGGCTTGATCCAGCAGAGCTCTTCTTATGTTCTTAACCACATCTTCATTATCCTCTTCATTTACTACAGCAGGTAGGTATTTTGGACCAGACTTTTATATCTGTGGTGCCAGAACTATGAAAAGCAGCCCCTAGGGAAACCTGCTTGGCCCCTTTGTCAGTTTCTGCTGCTGCTTATTATGTCAGAACATTGTTTCTTAGAGAAGGCTTTGGGGAGCAGCTGCTAAAATTATGTGTTTCCTTCTGCTGTTTGGGTGTAGTATCTTCATATTCTTTTGCTTACTTGATTTATAAAGATATGTGTGGCTGCTTTCTTTTTCAAATATATTTTGAATTTTGATTATTTTATGATGTGGATATTAGCTGTTTTGGGGTATGTACACCTTGAAACAAAAATGTTTTTTAAGAAGAAATCTTTGGTACCAGAACATCAAGTATGATTTATACTTTGAAGCTTTTGCATAAATCACTGAGGCGATGCCTAATGTTTCCCTTGCTAATGTCTGCAAATTATGCTGGTAACATGTTTGGCTTCTTCTTGAACTTTGCACTTGAGCTGTGTTGGCCGTAGCTAACCTATAATTCGCATCTCTCTTACAGCTATATCCATTGTTGCAATAAGTAAGATCTATTGTATTACTGTAGGTCAAAGGACTGCTTTAAGTTGTTGTTTTCTATGAATGTCCTTCTCTTGTGTGGGCTAATGAACAGCTCTTGGCACTCAGTTTCCATAAACACATTTATGGCTGATGCATCACAAATGGGAATTTCCTAGCTTTGGCATCCGTATGAGAACAATGCCACTTCAAAGCCAATTAAGTAAAACAGCGGTTATCTGCTAATTTCAAAATGTGGAAGCAAAAATAAAATGAACATTTTATGTAAGAGGTGGATTTTTAGAATAGATTGGTTTTATTTTTCTTTCTTTCCTTCTTTTTAAAAAAATATTTAAGTGGTTGGCAATTAGTTAACTATTTGCAAGCCCTCATAGCAGTTGTCAGGAAAATATGGGTCAGCATGGTAGAATGTATTAGCTCAATACATTGTCTTCATTTTATTATGAAGCTGCTGAGGAAGCAGTGATATACAGCACTGTCATTACAGATCTATTGTTACAGCGGTTCCACAGTCTTCTGTGCACTACCATTAATTTATAGCAGTAAACAATATGTAGCCTTCCAACTGCAGCAAAGCAGAATCTTTTAATGAGGTGGATGTTATTACCACAATAAATCAGTGTATTTGTGTAATGTATAATTCAATGTGTGTATTCCCACTGTAACTCCTCTGAGTAAGCTGATAGTGTATCATTGTCAGTGCACAGACCTATAGTATTTTATTTCTAAGCCTTTTCTCCCATTTGGTTAACTTTATAAAAAACATTTGCTTGCAAATAAACATGGCATGACTTCACAGTTGTGCTGTTGCCAGATTTCAGAAAACATATGTAACAAAAAGAGGAGTTAAAATCAATACTGTGCATTCTGTCTGTATGGATCTCTGCATGATACCTTTTATTTCTTTTTTCCAAAGCGAATTAAATCAATTGTAATTGGTTTTAGCATTATATTCAGCAAATGTAATTCTGTAACTATTGATCTGTGGTGATCTTGGAAAATAATAAAAACAGGAACAGTTCAAAACATGTCTTTGAAAACATCAGTGCCAAACCAATACTGCACTTTTTCTATTGTTACTGAAAAATAATTTATTTACTAATGATCTGATGTCTTTCTTTCTAAATCAAAAGCAAGCGTGGCTGAATGCTGCCACATACAAACATAGTTGGGTCTTTGACAAACAAAACAGTTAATATCAGATGGAACCTATTTCTGCCTTAGTGTATGTTTGCTTTTCTCAGATAAAACCCCTCTATGTAGCAGCTACTTAAAATGCTGGAGGGGGTATTGTTCAAATTAGAAAAGGCCCAAGGTTAATGCCAATTTTTGTATGAAGTGCCCCATAGGAATATATGAGAGAAGAAAGAAATATAACAAAGGTACAATGAAGTAATATTCTGCTGATAAATTAGAAAATCAATTTTGTTGTGTCAACCTAAACATTTGTAGTTCATTGTCTTCTAAATTACAAAAGGGAATCAAAGTTACATAAGTGCTTCTGCTTTTGTCAGACTAAGTGCTCTTAAACTTTGGGGACTCAAAATATGGATAACCATTGAAAGTTTGGGGTGCACATAGTCAGTACAGCTTTCGCAGCTGCTATAAGCTAGGTAATCAGATTTCCTTTGTTTGACTCCTAAAAGAAAACATTGATTTGAAGTGATTAATTTTTAATGTGTTTTTAAAAATGTATGACTTTTTTACCTTTATGTTTTTGAAGGATCTATAATATGGGGTTATAATTTTATAGAACATTAAGGTCTAGTTGGATAGCTTTCATAGTGTGCTTTTAAATATAGCATTATGCCCATAAATACTCACAGGTACAAATGTGTCAACACTTGTTACTGATAGCAGATCTCTATCAGGAGGGCATTTCACTGTTTTCTTATTTTCTCCTAAAAAGGCACAAAGCCTCCTATTATCCAAGACAAAAAGCAAAGCCCCACCTCTACATCGGGCATCTTATCACCCCCACTTTCCCTTGGAAACTGCAGAATAGCAGAAGTGATAATGATAGTGGTGGCAAGCTGTTAGAAGAGAAGGAGGAGGAGCCACAATCCCAATGGGGACCTTACTGCTCTGTTCTGTACTTCTCTGTATTGCCTGGCCAGTTATGGAAGGTGGCCAGCTCTTTTAGTAATGGCTGGCACCAATGGGTTCTTAGGAGCAAAGCATTGTGGGAAAGGTAGCCAAAGAAATTGTCCATAACAGTCTCTCTCCCTCTCCCTCTCCCTCTCTCTCTCTCTCTCTCTCTCTCTCTTTTTTTTGCTCCTTCTTCCCTATTGGCTTGATTTTAGAACCCCTCAGGGCCAGGCATTACTGAACAAACCAGCCATCTTCTGGAAACAGTCGGACAGTATGAAACACAGTAGTAAGGAGATTTTTGGGGTAGCATGAGAATGCCTTCGCTATTCTGCTAAAACAAGTGGCTCTGTTGAAATAATTATAGGGCTGGTTTTGACCCCCAAAAAGTGTCTGTTGTATCTATATATCAGATATCAGGAGGAATAAAGAGCAGGATCTCTGATTTTGACCTTAAAAATTTAGGGAGAGGGACTTTTAAAAGCTGACACCAACACTTTCAGGTAGGGCTGCAATCTTCAAACAATTTTGACTTAAGGAAAGTGAAACAATGTTATGTCCAGTCCAATTGTGACTCATTCAGATGTATTACTATAGAAGTAACACTATGTGTGTTGCAGGGGGACCCATTTCAGGTGGGTCAGTAGTGTCAGTCTATGTCAGTACATAATTTCCTTACCAAAGAAGAGGGTGATGATTCAATGGGAATGGCCCATGTCATTCTGCCTGTCATTGTGGCTGGATTTGCCTGTCTGGTTTTGTCACTTACTCATGATAGTGGAGTAACATAGGATATTGTCAGAAGAAATATTTCCAGTTTTATTAGCAGTCTGTGTGTATGTGAATATATTCCCCTTTTGAATTATTGTTATATTGAATGGCTCAAAACTTTTCAACAAAATTAAAATACATTGTCATATACAGTTCTATCTCATGGCCTCATTTCACTGGCAGAACAATAGGATCTAGTGAAATCTCCATAACTAGTTCTGGAACCTGTTCTTGTGCATGCAAAGTGGGCTGAAGTGAGTGTGGAAAGAAATTTCAGTGTGACAACCAGCAGAGTGTTGGAGTTTGCACTCTCTTTCTGAACAATAATTACATCCTGTCAAGTCACTTCTGACCGTCCATTGCAGGGGTTTGTAGGTATAGAATACCTAGTATAGAGTGGTTTGCCATTCCCTTCTTCTGTGGGTACTCTGGGACTGTGCAGCAGCTCACCTAAGGCTACAGCTAGGGCTTTTCTCTAGGGACAGACAGTGGGGAATTTAAATTCCAAACTCTGGCTCCTCACTAGAGATGGGCACGAATCAGAAAAATTGTGATTTATTTTGATTCATGATTTGTCAAGGTCAGTGAATTACAAATTACAAATTTATGAATTTTTGTGATGAATTGACAAATTGATTTGTCAATTCATTGTTTTAATGTATTCGCGAAGGCTTTCACGGCTGGGATCTAATGGTTGTTGTGGGTTTTTTGGGCTCTTTGACCGTGTTCTGAAGGTTGTTCTTCATTAGGAACAATCATCGTTTTAACTTTAAAACAACACAATCATTGTTTTAACTTTAAAACCCTATAAAATAGACACCCCCCGCACCTAGAGACACCATATTTTCAGAGAAGCTTCCCCTGAGATTGTAGAGGAGATTCAGAGGAAGCTTCTCTGCAATTTAGATGTCTCTTGGTGTTGGGGGGATATTTTATAGCCAAATGAATTAATGAATCAAAAATTGTTAAAATTAATTGATTTGTGATTTGTTGGGGGCATTGATTCATACAGATATGAATTGAATGAATTTGGTTATTGATTTTTTAATTCATGCCCATCTCCATCCTCACTCACTGAGCTTTCCAGCCAACTCTTCTTTCCAGCCAACAATCACTTTCCTCTTTACTTGCCCGACATATCTTCGTCCAAAGCCACCTGTTATCTAAAAGAAAAATGATTGTGATAATGATGATGCATAAATAATGTATAACGCTTTGTTTCTAATGTCAGCAATTAATATAAATGATTAAATATTACAAGAGCTACCAGTATTTGTGTTGAGTCTGTTGTTTTTCTCTTCTCCAGCCTATTGGTGCTCTTAATCCAAAAAGAGCTGCATTCTTTGCAGAGCGATATGAAACATGGGAAGATGATCAGGTTCCAAAGTTCCACTATGGCACTCATTATTCGACAGCAAGTTTTTCACTTACTTGGTTGTTAAGAATGGTAAGTACAGTATTCTTCTATGTTTCTTTCATTATTTTTTTAAAAACCAACAGATAATTAAACTAGTGGACATTTCAGCTGGAATGACATTAAAATAACTGATTACCTGCGAGCTGAATAAATCAATAACTTATTTTTGATAATCAATAAAACTGGTTCCAAATTTTGAATGCAATTTTATGGTACTAGCTAAATATAAAGATCCCTCTCTCTTTGGAAGTATTTTCCAGGTAGGACCTACTAGATATTTGTATTGACAAGAATTGTGTTTTGCTAGCATTATTTTTAAAGGGAATGTAATCTGACCTCTTAGAATGGATTTAATGCTTATTACTGAAATGTGAAATAAGGTTTTGTGATACAATATAAAAACAGAATTGTTATGAACTTTTTCCTCCAAAATTAAAGTGGTATAACCCACAGAAGCCTCTGTGCTGCAGGGTCAGAAGACCAGCAGTTGTAAGATCGAATCCACGTGATCTGCCAACCTAGCAATTCAAAAGCATGTAAATGCGAGTAGATAAATAGGTACCACCTTGGTGGGAAGGTAGCGACGTTCCATGTGTAGTCGTGCTGGCCACATGACCACAGAAACTGTCTACGGACAAACGCTGGCTCTATGGCTTGGAAACGGGGATGAGCACCACACCCTAGTGTCAGACACAACTGGACTAAATGTCAAGGGCAACCTTTACCTTATACTTACTGATAATATTGCGTGAGGTTAAATTTCTAAAGCAAGCCATGGAATGATAATTTATTTATTAGAAACCAATTTATTAGGAAAAGCATTAACAGCGCATCATTAATTACACCTTGTTTGATTGGTACAAGTAGACATAAATCAGGTAATTTATGATACTTAACTCATTTCATGCAATCATCCACTAATATGTGCTTAAGTGTCCTTTGACTAGAAAGAGGCTTTTCATATGCTCAGTTTTAATTTTGGACTGAATAACATATGTTCAGTTTGCACATACAGTACATATGTACATACATATGTTATATTCATAGCAAAGTTATCACTAAATAACACATAATACCAAAAGAATAATTGACTGTGTGCACTGAAGAGATCTTGTCCTGACTTTAACAATGCCACATTACAAGCTGTTTTTGATACTAACAGAAGTTTCTAAGGATAGTTGGTGAAGGAACATGGGTGGAACATATCTGAAGCTCAAAGAAAACAATGCAAATTATCAGAGTCATTTAAAAGTTCTTGGGTGGACTTAAAATTGTGTTTTGCATTCTGGCCTCTTCACACATGCTGGTCTAATGACAGGAGGGATTGTATTTCAATGTGCACTGAGTGTTACATGGGATCACAATATCTGATGAACAAGGGAAAGAAGAAGTATAACGGATAGAATTATTTTTCCTGTTCCAATATTTCTCCCAGCCATCCTGTAAGATTATCTCCATCTTGCAGATTGGATGGGCAAGAGACTGAAAGATAAGTGCATTTCTGTGGCTTCTAATGAACTCAGTGTTGAAACTGTCTTAAATCTATTTTCAATTCATAGTGCACATTTTTCTTAACTACCAGATCATACCTGGTTCTATCTATATTACTTGTTATTTAAAATGGGGGTGAAGTATAATGTTTAAAATAACACATGCCATGATATTGGAAATCTAGCTTTTGTCATTATCTTTAAAATAAACTATCCCTGGGGAATAGATATGATTATTTTTATAACTTTCCACAGACATAAAATCTGCCAATCGACCTTTAGTTCTGTTTGGAAATACTGAAAAAGAAAACTTTCAGAAAGCATCCCAGTTTCTTCTTTTTCTTCTTCTTCTTTAAATTTTATTTTCTTAGGAACCTTTTACAACATTTTTCCTGAACTTGCAAGGAGGAAAGTTTGATCATGCAGATAGAACTTTTTCTTCAGTTTCAAGGGCATGGCGCAATTGTCAACGTGACACCTCTGATATCAAGGTAAAGCTCAGTGAAAATGGTTAAAAACATTATAATAAACTTGATTATGATTTTGATGATGTTGTTCATGAAGATTTATGTGTCAGGTGCTATAAAGTGTATGATGCTTCCAAGTGTGTAAAAGAGTAGGTTTTCCCCTTGATGATGTTATAATCTAACATCTAAAGGGGTAAATAACAGGAGAAAGGATTTAGGAGCAGAGTAAATAGAGAAGAAATATGCAATATTGTTAGGATTTTTTTACATATGTTCTGAGGTTTACTTATTCTTGGACATGCTAATTGAGGCAGATCTCTTTCTCATGTTTTAAACATTATGGGACTAATTTCTAATGATTTACAGTGTATTAGAATTGCTGTGCATGTAGAATACTTGTCAAGAGCTACAAAAATTAGGGAAATAAATCCACTTAATATTATAGTCTGATGGTGAGTTTGTCAAACCATGACTGATATTTGTGGTCATGATTGCATTTTTCCGATTTGATGCAACTAGATTAATAAACATGCATTCCTGAACTTATTTTACCACATTCAGTTTACTACATTGAATGAGGTCAAGGAGGAAAGGCCACTGTGTCATTACAAAAAGGTAGTAAAAGTATGAATTGGGGGGAAAAATAGCAATTTGTCAAAAGTCCTGGAAAATTTGATTTGTGGGTATCTTAAAGCCTAATAGTGTTTGCTAAAATGACAAAGCATCTACAGACTAATGTCATTTTCTTAGTTTACTCCAATAAAATCAAATTTTGAGAATGATATATTATACAAATCAAAGAATGATATATTATACTGTACATTGAAGGAGGAGAGATCTTTCTAGTTATAGGGTCACAATCTAAAAAACAATCTACATCTTAAGGTATAAAGAGGTCTTATATGATTTCAGTCATATATGCTTGGTTGGTTACCCTTCTTGTCTTGTGTGCTGTCAAGTTGTGTCTGACTTATAGGGACGCTAATAGGACTTTCAAGGTAAGTGAAATATTTAAGCCAAGGAGAGGTTTTCCCAATGCCACCCCCAGTGAGTTTCCATGGCTGAGTAGGGATTTGAACCTGGGTCTCCTGAGTCCTAGTCTGAATCTCAATCCACTACGTTACTATTATTAACAAACAAGTTGCCTTTAACTAAGTCTTTTGGGGGGATTTCTGTGACATTTCACATTTTCTCTGCAACCTACATTTGAACCCTGTCATGATTCCCTAGGTGGCCCCTGCTTGTTTCACTGAAGTAAGAGCTCATGCTACGTGCCCCTCAGCTACCACCAGTTGATTACATCAACATTACCTATTATTAATAATCGAGGTCCAGGCCATATGTCATTTTAAATGAACCAAATAAAAATTGTTTATTGTTACAGATGTTGATAGAATAAGCAATGTTGTTAACTCTTAAACAAACATTCTCCTTTATTCCTCTCAACCACCACTGTCCTCCTCATACCCTAAAACTTTCAATCTCTTCAACTCTAACTCTCATCTCTCAAACTCAAAACTCTATCTCTCTCTCCTCCTGCTGAGTCTCTTGTATCTCATGACTCAGCCCCTCCATCACTCCCATCGGTCTATGCAGATATCCTATTCATGACCTGGGCAGATGCCACAAACTCATAAGCATGTTCAAATATGTTTATGAGCAATCTGACCTTTCTCACATGTTACAGAAATTGTCACTGTAATTATTCTGAAAATATGTCAGCATTTATTTTAAAGAAAGGAGTGTAAATGAAAAATACAAACAACTATACACTTATTTCCTTAGCCCTGTATTCCTTAACTTTGGTGTCTGACACATAAGGAGGAACATTTCAAAAAGAACATTAAAAGTATCTTGGAAATTAAGTTCATATTTTTTAAAGTCAGGAATCCCACTTGACCACTGAGGAACTTTTACCTAAGTAGTTCTCTAGAACTTAGAGGTTGTTACTGGAAGCCACTTCTCTGTCTCTCTGTGGATGCCATGGGGACTTTGCAGGTGACGGAAGAAAGAATCAAAACGGGTGGCTTTGCCATTTTGAAAGGCTTTTGGTGCATTAGATCAAAAGACAGTAGGTGTTTATTTGGAAAAACAAGTATGCTTCTCTCACTCCGTGTTAGTCTTGGGATGACTGGCAGGAATATTGGCTATATAAGTTTCAATTCCCACCATTAATTGGTGTGTTGGTATCAGTCTTTAGTGGAGGAGTCAATGTGAAGACCAAGTGGTCTGATTTGTTTTTTGTTTGTTTTTTAATGGAACATATACTTCACTATGATTTCCTCCCCTCTCCTCCTGGACAAGATGTACCTATATAATTTAGCTGCTTGAATGCTTCTGCTTGATTTAAAAGATTAGAAAGTTTCAATATGGAAGAATGATTAAATATGTTAAGCATTTATTTATGGAAGGATGCTAGAGGCTGAGGCAACTCATGACATTGGAGTACTATTGCGGTATTGATGGTATGGTACAATGAACTAAGCAGCTTCAGGTGGAAAAGTGTTGGGAGGAGGAATATGTAAGTGGATTAGTTGTCCATACTAGGACTGGGTTATTAATTCCCTTCCACACTGATCCTATTACAGTGTTGGTTCCTTAGTCTCAGTTTCTTATATCCAAACTTTATTCCTTGATTCCTTGATTTAGCAACTTTATATTTAAACTACAAATATATACGAATTAATTCAAGCTCATTTGCATTGGGGTATCAGATATTCCTTGTGTTCTGTCCTTGAGCAACAGATGATGCTATTGGATGATTCTGTTCAATCCAAGGTTTTCTAATCTCATCAGATTACTTAGACTTGAGGGAAAAGGATACAATCCTGACAAAGTAAAATGATTACATTATTAGCAAAAGGCAATTAATTTTTCCCCCAAAAAATTTCATTTGAAAGAAGTATTGTATTAATTTAAACCTATTTGTTTTCAAAAGTGCTAAAGGGAATAGGTGATTTACATATAGAACCATGGAAGCTGCTTTCAGAGCATTTGGTGCCTATAACATGCTCCCTTGGCAACTGTTTTGTCTCCAATGCTCTTTAACATCTATATTAAACTATTTCAAGTGGAATTTAAAAGACTTGGAATGTATCTCCATTGATGAAATCCAACATTGTCCTATATTACTAGTAACCTCTAGATTGGACCATTGCAATGCACTCTGTGTGCAGCTGCCCTTAGGAGTGGTTTGGAAAGTGTATATAGCAGAAAACATAGCAGCTAAGATTCTAGTAGAAAACTCTTGTGTGTATTATATCAGTGCTGAATGAATTGCACTGGCTGCTATTTTTTGCTACTGAAACAAGTGTTAATCCCTGAGCAACTTGGGAATAGGTCTTCAGAGATGGGACCTCCTTCAGTCTTTGACATTATTGTTCAGGACTGTCTTGGCTGTGCCAAATTCCATGTTTTGTGAGGGGGAAAGCAGCTTTTTGCAAAGAAAGTTGAGAGGGAAAGCACTTTCTTCCCAAGAAAGTGGAGGGGGAAAGCAGGAATCAAGGCTCTTTGATTCCTGCCTTCCCCCTCCACTTTCTTTCAAAGAAAGAAATTTTGGGTTAGAAAAGTCTTATACAGGGGCGTCTTATACATGGAAAATACGGTATGTATTTTGGTGATCTTTTTTACCCACATTCAGTGCCTTTTCTCTTTGCTAAATGCAAAGGTGGCATTTAAATGGAATAAAAAATTGTAACAAAACAGTGTGGGAGAAAATTTGCTATTATGTTTGATACTTGTCATGTCAGAATTCCTATTAAATGGCTTGTTTTTACTGGTTATGTGTATTCCAAAACTGCTATGTAAAGTACCGCCTGCGCTGGCCCCGTGGGGGGGTGGAGGGAGCGTCGCAAGGGTCCAAGTGAGCCTTCCAGGACCCTTGCAATGCTCCCCCCACCTGGAAGCTGGCGATTTCACCTGCACTGGCCCCGTTGGGGGGGGTAGGGGAGCGTCACAAGGGTCCTGGAAGGCTCACTCAGACCCTTGGGAGGCTCCCCCCATGGGGCCAGTGGGGGCGAAATCGCTGCCTTCGCTCCATAAGATGCACAAACTCCCCCCCCTTTTTTGGGGGGGGAAATGCGTCTTATGGAGCAAAAAATACGGTAGTTACTTGTGCAACCGAAACTAATGTATTTTTATTTCTTAAATATTGTCACATTATTATATTACATTCTTAATATTTTTTTAAAAGCCCTGTACTTTTATTAGTATCCACAAATAAAATATTCTGCAGGGTATTCACAAAAAATACTATGGAACTATTTTCATTAGTATACCACATCATGATTATGCAGATTAAAATAACAACTAATTAAAAAGAATAATGAGAACCAAATAAACGGTCAGGATATTGTCCATTGGTGTATTTATCCATTTTGTCTAGGTTCAGTGCCAAATCATTATTCTATAATTTAAAAGTAACTCCTCAGTGAATTCAGTACATTTGTCCTAGCCATGTATTATGTAACTACTGCAAAAATACAGTTGCTTTTACAATTAAATGCAGTATCATTAAATCATAACTTTACCCTGGAGCACTGAAGATGAATGGCTGATGGCTTATTTAGTATATGAGTAATTTTTATTACTCTTCTATACATTATTTTTTATTCTAAATGTAGTCTATTTTTGAGAAATAAGATATTTACTGTAACAAATAAAAAGCCAACACTCAATAAATAAATAAATAAATAAAAAGCCAACACAATATATTTTAAATAAATATCTTCTGCCCTCTCTCGTAAAGTCAGTGATGTTGATGCTGCATGTTCAGTTAAAAGACTTCATCTGTCAGAACCGTTCTTTTTCCTGAGTTCTTGAAAAGCTGTTGTCTGTCAGAACAGGCAGAATACAGTTGAAAAAATTAAGATACTGTCTTGGTAATGGCAGATTTATATATTCACAGATACTCAAAACATGTATGTTTTTAGATTGTATATGTAAATTAATCCATCAAAAGCACACTTTAGGTCAAGGATATCTTGAACTGTTGCCCAAATCAGAGAATTGGGCTTGAGAGTTCT